GCCGAAAGTGCGTTGAGGAAGAAGAAAATAAGGGCTCACTGTATAATGTTTTGATTATGTTTTGAACCAGAACCTTGTGCTTTCTTCCTTTCCTAGACAGGTACTTTTCCTTCATTCCAGGTTGAAGGATATAATAGGATTTCTTTAAATATTGAGGGTTCTAATACATTTATCCTCCAGAGCAGTGTTTCTCAACCTTGGTTCACACAGATTAAGTCAGCACACACACACACACACACATATAATAGATTGGATCAATTTGTGAACCAAGTCATTGATGATAATTTATTAAACTTGAAGTATGGTTTAAACCAGTGTTTCTCAAACTCGGCAACTTTAAGATGTGTGGACTTCAACTCCCAGAATTCCGTCCACACATCTTAAAGTTGCCAAGTTTGAGAAACACTGGTTTAAACCAATTTAAAAATCATAGCATAGTGTGATGCATAAAACCAGCCAATGTAGTTAAGGTGACAATAGTTTTGACAACATGCCATAAGAGTAATAATCTAAAGTCCAAACTTGATATAAGAATATACTTTGGTCACTCCATTTTTGAATGATATTGTTATTATAATAATTATACCACAGTGAAGTTAACAAATATTTCCTTTCACACCTGATATGTATTTTAGAAAATAACACAATTAAAATAATTAGAAGTCTGAGATGTTGGAATGGAGCATTTGTGTTAAAACAGCAATTTTTGGCACTGTCTGGCTTTTCCCAGCAGTCTGGATAAACAGGCACACACAAACCCCCAAACTTTAGATGGGTAAAATTTATGGTAAATGACTCTTCCTGGCATTATAGGGAAACAGCATTCAAATTCTTACACCTCTTTCAGGTAATGGGCAGATCTGATATTAAATTGTTTTCTTCTGACCATGTAAGAACTCTCACAAAATGCATTTCATCTTATATCTTACAGTTTAAAACATGGAATTCTAAACAAGATACATAGCTTAAGGATGTTTTGGACAGAATACTGAGAAGACAAATCAGTCTAAAGTTATTAAAATCAACTTGGAGACTCTCTTATAAATAAGCCTAGCTATATTTAGAGGTCTAGATATTTCCCCAGGTCAGCATGAATATAGGCAAATAGTCTAGTCAAAATTGAATATTGCTAACCAAGAATAGCTTCAGAATTGTTTCTCCACCTCCATCTCTACAAGCTTCTTTAGAAGGCAAAGAATCAGTTACATCCCCAGACCATCTTACTCCCCTTCCTAACCCCTATCATACCTTCTTGGTTTTGTTTTGTTTTGTTTTTCTAAAGTGAAAATTCCCTCGATGTAGAAAGTGTCAACTTTGCAGTGTGACAAGGAGGAGAAGAATCTGATTTCAAATTTCTTTGTCAGACAGACCTATCTTTAATCATGGAGATGGGAAACTAGATTTTAGTATAACAAAGACAAAATTTTCTACAATGGCTTATGCAACATAATTACAAGAGAGAGAGAGAGAGAGAGAGAGAGAGATGATAGTTGGATGATAGATAGACAGACAGACAGACAGACAGACAGATATGTTTGGAGTCAAGTAGGAAGTGCCAAAGGAGATCTTTTAAAAAGTAGGTTAACGTGAGATTCAAAAATTTTAGAAAGAGCCTGATATATACCAAACAAGTTCAAATATTTGGAATATTTTGGCCCCAAACCCTTCTTTTTCACCCTTGAGCCACAAGAGTAGGTAGGGGAGCAGTTCATACTAACTGCAATCTGCTACTCAACTGCGGAAAAATGGCTAAAATGTTTTTCAAAAGTAATTCTCTTGGCCCATTTTTCTGCAGGTTGAATGGTAGGTAGCAGTCAGCACTGAATGTCACCCTACCAGTTTAGGAAATTCAAGCTTGTTTGGCCATGCTATCTTTACTTTTTTACTATTAATTGATTACCTGCCTGTCTGAAAAGTACAAACCAGCAAAGTGCTCTTGTTCTTTGCTGGACTAGAGAGTATCTGTATGTGTATGCAAACACACACACACACACATACACACATGTAAGACTGACACTGCTGCTTAACTCTTGTATGTATAACTGTAATATTACAACTCCTCTATTTATGGAGTTGCCAGGCTTTACAAACTGGAAAAAAAAAACTGCAAAGAAAGCTCAACCTTAACAAGACAAATTTCCAGAGACCCCAATACTCATACACACACTCAGAAAACCCTACCAAAACCATAGAGTGTTAACATTTTTAAATGTACCATGATGACAAAAATATACAAGAGCATGCAAAATAGGAAACATTACAAACTTAGAACATTTTGAATACCCTTAGTATTCTATAAAAAAATACTAAAACCTAAAAAAAGCAGGCAAATAAGTTCTTTTTTAAAAAGAAAGTTCTTCTACATTCTTGCCAGATTTATTAAGATGTATGATCTTTAAATTCATATCCATTACTTTATTACATCAGACAGCAACATTCTACAAAAGAGACTCAAGGAAAGCAATAGAGTCAGAATTTGGAGGTAAGACTGGTCAAATCTGGCACATCCAAATGTCAAGAAACTTTATGAGGTTTTCAAGTATTTGCAACATTTCAAACATACGGGTATGAAATATGAAGCACTAGCACTCGTTCCAATTGTTCCAGACATAATTCACCTGTTCCTACTAAGCACTGCAAAAGAGACTAAATTCTAGTATTTGGTGTGCTGCAAAGAACTGGCACCAATCTTAGAGATAATTGAACGGCTTCTGCCTGTAATTTAGAACACATCTCCAAAAGGTGGTATAATTATGGGGCACTTGCTGTGTCAAAGATAGACATTTCTTAGCTTGTAAATTAGATGTTTACAAAGAAATGTTATTTTCCAGTATTTTTTACTTACTCATGGTCATGTTCTTAGGCCGATAGAACTTTAGTTGTTCTCTAAATAGAACATTTCTTGACCGCCAAACTCTCAATGATGGTTTAACTATAAAGTAAATCCTTGAGTTGACAGACTAATGGGAGAAGGGATTTTCAAACTAAATGTCTATTAAATAACATATGAGTTTTTCTGAGCTCCAAACACTCTTGTACATGAGAAAGCCCACTTTATTGATAACAGTGATGGCCAATTTTGAGAGGAAGTCACAAATATTGTTCAGAATGATTTAAACAAAGAACTTTCATTTTTCATTCATAAAGAAAAGGCAGAGAGAGCTGCAGTCTCTCTGAAGTGAAAGGAAGGTGTGATGAAAAGTCTTTAATGCAAGGTTGATGTGGAGAAATGGATTTTGAATAGTATTTTGAAGTTACTCTTGTCCTGATGATATAGAGTTTCTATAAATCCATCAGTGTGAGTAAGGCTAGTGCAATGAGGTCTGTATCTATACATACTTTGACCAAGAAGCATGAGAGTTGACCTATATTGCTTCTCATTACTAAATATGTTCCAGATAGCTCTTTAATAAAAGTTCTTATTTCCCTCCTGATCAACAACCATAATTTTTTCCATGCCTTGTCTTAGTCTTGCCACTTCATATTGGAGTCCTCAGCTGGCCACCACTTAGGCCAGATAAAACCCACAGGCGCTACAGAACTGATGATAGAGATACTTTCCCATGGTTCAAAGAGAAACAGACAATGAATTGATAATGAGGTCCTCAGTCAAAGTAGAATGAATGAACTGCAGGGTTACATTACAGTTCAGTTTTCTTCAACCAGCTGCAACAAGACTGGAGTTCTGAGCCAGAGACCTTGCTCTCTGGGAGTACACAATCCCTAAAAGTTTGGAGATGGCCAGACCGAGGAAGATAGTTCTATTTTGTCCTACTGAAACCATCATCTTCTTAGATTTAATCTTTAAAATAAGTTTCCACTGACATTTTCTTATTTAATTAGTTAATAATTACAGTTCTGTTACGGAAGCAGTCTTATCTAAATAAGTGCAACAGGATATAGTAAAAATAAGATGATGACTGGAAAGAGAGATTTTAGATATTTGCATTCATGTCAAATATAGAAATTTACGTAAGTATGACATTATAGATACAGTATTATTTTTTCTTTAGAGAGAAAACAATGGTATGCTGATTTAGAGTTTATGCTAAATCATAGCTTATAAAAGTGGTTTAGTTTCACGAGAAGGCACTGATTTGTAGGCAATGAACTATGGATTCTCATATTATCAGAATATGATACAGTCACATATGTTTCTCTTTTGCTATAGGTTGCTGCTAGGTAGTACTTGGATGAGAAACCTCCAGGAAATCTAGCTGAAGACTACACTGGAAATTTTAAAAAAGTCTCTTGGAAAAACACAATGGCCCATCACCTCTATATTACTACCAAGAAAACAACATGGACATAGGAAGTCATAGGAAATCATGAGAATGAGCTTGAATTGAAAGAAACATTTGCTTTTTAAATATTCAATTAGACAATCATAATAGCTCAGTGAACATATAGTTGGGGAGGTTTTAAAAAAATACAGTGCAGGTGGCTTAAAAGATTATTTATATATGGGTACATTAAAAAAGATGTGCAGCGGCTGAATTAAACTGATGTCTCTATGACTAGAATTAGTCTAGACAAACATTCTCTTCTGGAAGTGGAATGTTCTAGAGAACTCCAGTTTGTTCTGTTTCATGGGTCATCTGGCTCTTAACCATTTCGGGGCCAAAACAATGAATGGAACACCACAAACTACTTCCTGTTCGAGAAGGGTTATTTCCAGAAAAGTGCCAGACTAAAATGGTCCAGAAGAAGATGGAATTTTCCAGAGTTTTCCATAATGTTCTATATCCAGAATGGAACATTTTGCACATATACTTTGAATATTAATTTGAAAAGGTGATTCTGGATATATTATAAAAAAAAACCACAATTCACACTAGACATAGAAATAAATGTTCATCAAGGGCTTCTTTTATATACAGTATTCAAAGTATGTGTGTCTGTGTGTGTATACACACACACACACACACACACACTGTACTATTTGCAGAAAAGGACTTGTACATTTCCTGAAGAAATGGATTTGGGAAGGAAAAACTTACGGCTGGTCCATTATACTGAATCTGTGTCTCTCATATTCTGATAAATGCTGAAAGAGAGAGAGAGAAAGAATAAAAATGTGTTTCTGAAGAAAAAAACTAAATCAAATGAAGAGTGAACCGAAGACAACTTTTACTTCAGCTGGAGCACAGTTTGCTTACTACATGGCGTTAAGCAGACATATTCTTTTAACACCATCTTCAGTTTATAATATAGTGAAACACAATTAAAACCAGGCTACTTATTAACTTTTTATTACTAAAACGCCCAGTAATTATCATGGAAGACAAGTGGCACAAAGTGTACAGTGAAAAATCTTCCCAGGAATATCATGTGAGAAATACAGTGGTTAATGAATAATTACACAAATGAGCAGCGAGGAGTTATACTGTGTGCTTTTGGGGCTGCCGCTTGTCCACAGATTCTTTTTCTGGGAGTGCTGTGATCCTTTCTAACCTTGGTGAAAGGAAGATGGGCTGGGAGAAGCCTCACTCAGAAATGAAGCTACCTGGCCAATTTATTCAGAATGGCTTGTCAACGTTTTAAATCTTCCACTGCTCTGAACCCTGGTCAAGTCAGGTTAGAGACAAATTGGGAGATTAGAGGATGGCACTTCTAGACTCTAGTTTATATCACCCTTATAATGAGAACTATAGACCATTGCTAAGCATGACCTTAGGGAATGGTATTTTCCCATACCAGCTTGCCTCTGCTCTCCCTTATGTCCCAGCTGTAATGGAGGCTGAGTTGATGGGGACTAGAGAAAAGAATTACTTAATAGTTCCACCTAAATCGTGGAGCTCTGCCTTGGAAACTGTGCATAATAGGCTTTCACTGCTTGGTGGAGATTCCATCCATCCATCCATCCATCCATCCATCCATCCATCCATCCATCCATCCATTCATCCATCCAATGTATATAACCACCCATCTCACATTTGTGACTCTGGGCTAATACTCTAATTAATTAATACCCTGATTAATTAATGCCCTAATTAAACTCCTAATGTGTGGACTTCAATTCACCTAATTAAAACAGCAACCAGAAACAGTAAACAACGTACCAGTAAAACAACGAAACCATATAAAACCATTAAGACCAAATTAAAAACCATAACTTCTTCAGGACGGCGTTTGTACATATTACGATTCTCTGTTTCAGCCTATATCTCTGTCCGTTTTTATCACCAGCTCTTTTTGCCTTTGAAAAAAGTTTCTTTTTTTTAAATCCACAAGATGTTGGGTACAGGATGTGTTGTGATCGAAGCCTTGCCGCTTTCGTATGTGCCACAACATCACTTGAACCAAAGGGTTTTAATCAGAACACTGTGTTTGCCATCTTGCGCTCTTTGTCCATTTCTGTATGTTAGCTGACTGGAGCGGGCAACTGTTCAAGGGCTTCAGTATCAGATTTTTTAAAACTTAAAACTTTTTTTTTTTTTTGCTTTTGTTAAATACAATAAAAAGGAAGAATGGCTTGGTGGCTTGACTATCAGATGCGGTTTGTCATGTGTGAATCAACTATTACTCACCAAATACTATAAGAAGAAAATATATTAGCTTCCTATTAGCTTGACCATTTCTACTGTGTTCCAAAAGCAAATAAATGTTTCTGCCTATCGCTAACAAAATATGAGGTATCTGTAGTGCCTCAGCATAACTGCAGACTATTTTCCAATTCCAGCGTATCTCTGCTTCTTGTTAAGATTCTGATCTAAATTGGGAAAATATGGCATTTCAGACACCAGAAAACCAACTATATTTAATACTAATCCTCTAATTATACTGTATCACAAAATAGAAACTCAGTTTTACATGCTATATGCCATAATTAGGAGATGCATTACTCAGATGGAAATCAGCAAATTCCAGGGGAACGTTAAAAGGTAAAAACCAAACCTAATCATTCTGTTATTGATGTCATGGTTTGCATCTTTGGTCTATATTACAATGAATATCAATATGCAGCAATTATTCATATTTATGTTGTATTTTAAATATGTTCACACAGAAAAGGGAGGAGAGAAATGAGCATCAAGCTTTAATGGCAAAAGTCTCACGCGATTAAGAGCAGAAATCAGTCAGGTCAAACTTTTCTAAATCTCCTAAATCTTAGTACAAAACAGTTACTTAAAGAATAGGAATCCCTATTTATTTCCAAAAGGAGAAATCAACATGCTATCATTTAATTATCAGGAGTGGGACTGCAAAACTATTTATTAATCCCCAAACCTGGCTTTGGCACAATGCTCTTCTATAAGGTAAGGTACAACCGTAGGGTTGGTAGGAAAATATTAAAGCTTTGGGAAGATTCCCTGTGAATCTATCTATCATAGGAGAAGTTGTACCTTGACTTTGGAGCTTGCATGCTTAATATTTTTCCCCTTGAATTGCCTAGGGGAGGGAGGGAGGGAGGGAGGGAGGG